TGTGCTTTTGGGGCTCCAGTTCTAGTGTAATTCTGGTAAAATGGCCGGGCTAAAGATGTGTACTCTGTAAGTCAACAGCAAAACTGAGTTGGTCTGTACATGCCTTACAAGGTTGTAACACAGCATGCAAGCCTACATGCATTCATGGACCAAGACTAGCGTAAAAACTGCACCTCTAACTGAGTGCTTGTATTGAAGTAGTCAGATAAACAAAGATCACAGAATACTGACTGAGATCACAAGAGGGCGCCAAACCATAAGAAACAAACAAACATTAGACACATTCAACTTACACACGATGATGTTTGAAGTTTGTCATATATCCAAAAGCCAAGATTTTTATTATCTTTAACTTTCTTAATACAAGATGCAGAACAGTGAAAATTTGACACTAATGGTGTGAGTGCCTCTGGGTGTGAGGAACAATGTAAACTTTACTAAACTAAAGCATTATTTATTTTTAGTAGTTGTAGTTATCAGCACTATACTAGTTTAATAATCATTAACGCCTGACTTGCACATTGCTTTCAAAATCAGTCATACTCATTGATCAACAACCATTGATCAAAGACCACTGATCAATGGAGGAAATGGTTACAAATGTAGACACTCAAGACAATCAAAGTCAAACAAAATCATGAAAGATGGCCATCAAAATAAGGACGGGGCAAATCCAATGTTTAAATACTAACAAAAATAATAATGATAATAATAATTTCTTGTATTGGAAAGTTCCTTTCAATAAACCCAAGGACACTTAACAATAGAATAAAATACATGATGGAACAATGACAACAAAGAAAAATAAAAAAACAAAAGCTGGGAGCAGAGCAGCTAAAAGCTCTGCTTCACATGTTGGTGAGGTGGAAAGAAGGCACAGCAAGCTGGATAGAAGAAGAGGATCGAAGTTAGTGGGCAGAAGAGATAGTGCTTAACAGGTCAGAAAGGTAAGGAGGAGCGAGGTTATGAAAGGTCTTGAAGGTGAGCAGAAGAAGTTTGTACACTATCGGGAAATTCACAGGGAGCCAGTGAAGTTCCTGAAGAACAGGGGTGATGTGCTGATGGGAGGTGGTTCTGGTAATAATGCGGGCAGCAGAATTTTGAACCAGTTGAAGCTTATGGAGGGATTTTTGGGGGAGACCATGCAAGAGAGAAGTACAATAGTCAATACAAGAGGTAACGAGACTATGGACATGAATGGACGTAGATGGGGTAGAAAGAGAAGGATGTAATCGGTTAATGTTGCGTAGAGGGAAATAGGCAGAACGGGTGAGATTATTGATCTGAGATTTTATAGGATAGTGAACTGTCTAGGATGACACCAAGGCTCTTAACCTGAGGTAAAGGGAAAACTGTGGAGTTATGGATGGTGAGTGAGAAATGATTTGCCTTCAGTAGGTAGGATTTAGTGCCACTAAGGATGATTTCAGTTTTATCCTAATTAAGCTTCAGAAAATTAGAGGTGAACCAGCATTTTAATTGAGGTAGGTATTCTGTAAGAGAAAAAGGTGCGAGGGAGGAATATAGATATAAGAGATATAACTAGGTGTCATCGGCAAAATAGTTGACAAGACAAGACAAGAAACTCACAGTAAACAGGAAAGCACGACTATGGTTAGTGTTAAAATGAAAACGTTGAAAAACCCACTGTGCTTATAAAAAAATAAAACAAAACAGATTAAAGGAATGTGAACCGTTCTATTAAGAATTCAAGGTAAATAATGGCATGGCATGTGCTAAACGTAGTGTAAATAGGCAAATGATAAAAAAACAAAAAAACTAAACAAAAAAAAGATTTGGTTAAAATGCTGTTTTAAAACTCAATGTCAACTAGTTTCAATCGGTTGAGAACGCAACCTTTTGTCAATCCGGTGAAATTCAAAATATACATCATGTGGCTAACAATTACAATGGCACAATTTTCTGTTTGTCACAATGTGACAGCTCAAACACTCACTATGTATTAACAGACCTCTCTGCATAAAATCATACTTGTTATTAATGTCTGTCGCTCTTCCACAGCCGGTCTTTTATCCTGTCTTCCTTCTCTCTCCTGAACCAGTCGCAGCAGATGGCCCCGCCCCTCCCTGAGCCTGGTTCTGCTGGAGGTTTCTTCCTGTTAAAAGGGAGTTTTTCCTTCCCACTGTCGCCAAAGTGCTTGCTCATAGGAGGTCATATGGTCTACCTTACAATATAAAGCACCTTGAGGCGACAGTTTTTGTGATTTGGTGCTATATAAATAAAATTGAATTGAATTGAACTTATTTTGTTTTTTATCATAAATGAAGTTTGTGTTTTACTGTAAAACAAAAGTGAATATTGCCATTTCTAGAAATCAGAGGCACACAGACACACCCACAGACAAGCCAAGTCATGCACAGGTTGGCTGTGTCATGGGGGAGGGGACACTGAAGAATATAAAGCATTTTGTGGTGTGAGCCCTTCATATTATCATTCATCAGTTCTCCTGTAGCAAGTTAAAAAAAACAAACTAGAACACTGTACTATAAGAGGATATTGCAGGTATTTTTATACAATTTTCACTCAAATTAAAACTTGCAATTTTCTTACTTAAATGTTTAAATTTACTTCATGCTCTGTTTTCTTCAGAAGAGTGATGACATCTGTGAATTTATCCAGAAGCAAAGGAGTGACTGGTGTCACAACCATCAGGGGTTTATTCATCATTTTCACCCTGTTGGTTCTGGTCAACCTTTCAAGTTCACAGATAAAGAAGGACCAACTGGTAAAATGATTGTTATACACACACACACACACACACACACACACACACACACACACACACACACACACACACACACACACACACACACACACACACACACACACACACCAGTTGTAGTTTTACTTTTACCAGTTTGCCTTTGGCACACATGTTTTACATGGCTGCTTGAGGACATTCTCTATCTGGATTTGCAGGAAGAACTGAAAGAAAACATTCAGAAATTACAACAAGCAGCAGTGACAAGGAAGGTGAGTCTGTCTCTGTCCATGTTGTTAGCGTGAATGAGTAATGTGAAATATCTATCACTGCTAATATAAATATTTATAAATTTATTAAACAACCAAAGCCGAAAAAAGAATATAAAAGTATTTTTACACATTTGTTTTACTGTATTTTCTCCTCCAGGATAATCTCAAATTAGACATATTCTATATTCCACTATTCTATGATGATTATATGCGCTTACTGGACATTTTCTATGAATTTCTAAATACAACAAGTGAACATTATTCACCACTGCTGGATTTAATTGATGACGTGAAAACATTCCTGAAAGCCACCAAGAAGTACATAAACAAACACCTTGAGATGACAGCTGGATAAATCAAGGACTATGAAGAAAAACTAAATGTTGTGATGGAGCGGCTAACACACGTAGAGAAACATAAAGATGAATTGTAACACATTAGTCTGCATATGTCTCTAATACTCTTTGTATTGTGTTTGTAAAACTTCTCTTTTATACCATGCAGTTTCAGTTTGATGTTTTTCCCTTATGAGTCCCAGTGATATTTTAAATTGCTGAGTAAATCTAACTGTAAACTTACGTTTGACCTGAAAAAATAACTTTTCAAATTTCTCTTTTTCATTATTTTCATTAAAAAAAAGTTGTAATGCAAGTACAAGCCACTGATCATGGGGATTTTGCATGTGAAGTAATTGACAATTATTAATGATTTATATGAAGAAACACTTTAATGTGAATAAAAACTTAATAAAACTGTTATCATTGCCTTTTTTTTTCTTTTTTTTTGCAATTTTTATTTTTAAAATTCAAAAGAAAGTACAAGAACTGTGGCTGATTGGTATCCAGTGTTTGCTCACTGCCAAAAATCTAAATTCTGTAACCCACAAAATGCAAAATACCAATCAGCTCTTACACTGTTTTTGGCTAACTAGATTATACACACTATATTTTATATATCCTTTCTTTCCTTGCCATTCTGAAATAAAAGGGCCAGGCTATGTTTTCTGGTTATACCTCAATAATGTGATGAGGATACAATGAGCTATCTGGTCAAGTCCCCTTCAATGCTGCTGAACTAAAAGCACAGGAATATTCTAGTCCGAATCTGTGATTTATTTGGAAACATCAACCACCAAACACGTATATTTTGTTTGTCAAGTAAAATTAGTAATACTGATGATTTGTTATAAATGCCTATTTTTACAAACTGTGAAATTCACAAGGAAGGATGACTGTGGCTCACTCGTGAAATTGGCCATGTGGAACCCTATAATACATACAATCATTATCAAAGGATGACATATTTGAGAAACAATGATACAAATGGATGTAAAAAGCACACTGCAAATAAAGGTCTGAAAGGGTTTGAATTGTACTTCTTATACTTTTGTTTTTAGTGTTTGCATCAAATTATGAACACTGTTACCAGGTTATAAGTATATTGCTTCATGCTTATGTTGCTCAATATATGTAATGTCGATTTTAGTGTTGAGATATACTATTGATTATATGAGAATGATGAGATGAATACTAAACGAAAATCAAAAAGTTTAATCATTGGAGAACTGGAATATGAAGCATATGAAGTGATGCTGGCTCTAACATTGGATTATTCGCTTTCCGTTCATTTGTATATTCTGTTTTAATGTCTAAAAACACAGTTCTTTGTCTTTATAAGTAGCTCATGTGTTAAACAAACCCAGTCTCAGGGCAGTTTGTAAAATAATCTCAGGAAAGCCATCTAGATTTTCCTGTTCATGTACACAAACGGTCGATAGTTTTTTCTTGAAATGATGCTGAGTTACATGCTTAACCACATTCTTATCCTTTTTCTGCCACGCTTCTGTCGTGGCTGTTGTTAAAGGTGACGTATGTGGAATATCCTTTGACTGTTTAAAAGTCAGAACTGATGGGCCTTAATTTCCATAAAGTGGATCATATTACATGAAAGTGAAAGAGCACTTAAAGTATCTGTAACGTGTGAGTCCATTGTGTTTTCAGTCTACACCTGTATAGTGCAACAGCTCTTTCTCCTTTCACCAGCCAGGTAAGATCAGCCAAAACTATACCATAAGATGGTTTATAGTTAATATGTTTTATACAATATATAATAATAACATAACAACAGGAAGCATACATTTAATTCTTCATTTATTCATTTCATTTATTTTCTGTCATTTTCTCTCCAGAAGTTTTTATTTCACCAGTGATGGCGGCAGCAGCAGGCGTCTCCAAAAGCAGAGGACTGACTGGTGTCAGAAACACCAAAGTTGTAATCATCTTATTGCTGCTGTCCCTGGTCTATGCGTCAAATTCACAGACAACTGAGGAATATTTGAATGTAACACTATAAGTCACTATAAACTTATCAAAGTCTGGATGTTTTTTCTTCACTTACAGTTGTTAATATGCAGTTCTTAAGCAACTGATGCATTCTACTTTTGCAAATTACAGAAAATCAAGGCAGTCTCAAGAGAAGCTGATGAAAAACTACAGTATCTTCAATTTACCCAGGAACTAATGAAGACATCATCATTTTCAGAGCATTTTCCACCACTGGTGGATTTAGTAAATAACTTGATTCACTTCCTTGAGAAATCCAAGATCCTGTTCAAAAGAAAGGAAGATGACTTGTTAAAAATGGGTGAAAAAGAAAGTGAAAAAAAAGATGGAGATCCTAAAACTCAATGGAATGAACTATAAATGTTTCTAACTTCTTTAAAATAAATGATAGATATGATTTAGAGTTTGGCATCATTGTTATTACTATTTTGATTAAAGAGCTGGATGAGGCATTTATTTGTTTTGTTTTTACTCTTCCTGAACTGGGAATTGTTTTCTTTCCTGAACCTCATTATTTCAATGTTCTTAAAGATCTAAAACTATTATCGAACACATAGAAAACTTTATGTTTTGTAAGTTTATGTTGTTCTCTTAACACAGGGATGCTGTCAGCAATACTGGCATCACATGTTGACAGGGTGCATTCATTAATATTTGAGTAAAAGACAAATATGATTCCCATGTTTTGCAAATAGTTGAAGCTATTTTGTCTTTACTTTGGATTTTTGTGATGTCTTTGTCCCAGACATTATGGAGGGTACTGGCATGGATTTGCTTACACTCTTGAAAATAGTTTTCTTCATCATTCTACCCTCAAGTTTATAAAACTCATCGTTGGATCTCATCATTAGACATGAAAAGATTGGTTGTTTAAGAAATATGCTATCTATACTGTTCACATTGGAATAGTATAATATGCAAAATGCTATATTGGTACTCCAGGTATTATTATAACCAAACTTGGAAAAAGTACCTGACAAGTGTGTGTGGCATTCATAGCTCTTAATAATTTATATTCACATATTGTTATCTTACTGTGTTCTCTTTCATTTTGTATCTTCTGTTGGTTATTATGGATCTTCAATATTGTAATGATGGCTAGCCCTAAATTATTTTTAGATCATAGTAATCGCTCTGTGTAGTATACTTTTCTTTTCTTTTCTTTTACTATGCCTACTGCTTTCAGAAACATGGTGAAGAGATAGTAATATAATTAAAAAAAATCCTAAACTTGTCAAATCTGCTTTTTGTACATATTATTGCTATGACTGGGCAATTGTTTTTATGTGTATTAGTTATACATGAGTGTGTATTTGTAATATACTATCCACGAACCAATATATTCCTAAATAGAAAGGTTTCAAATGGTGATGTAATTTGATAAAGGTCTTTAATGTGGATGAAACTGTTTGCTTTAAAAGTAAAAGTGAGGAAAATTATCAGGTGTTGGTCATAAAACTCCTCTGTGTAGTTACTTTAAAATAACTTAATTCACAATATTAACCTGACTGAACCAGATGAACTCATAAAAAGTTTAATTTTTTAGTTAAATAAACCCTATAAAATAAGAAAATATAAACAGTAGCTTTACTATTACTTATTAAACACTACTAAAAAGTAATTAAGTAATTTATGATACTTATTTATGATACTTATTTATGATACTTATTTATGATACTTATTATGCATTTCCAACCAAGGTTACGGGAAAGGCTTCAACTAGAAAAACCTCTTTTTACATGATGTTATTTCATAACAGTAACCGTTGGGCTTCTATCAACAGGACTAGACAAACACAACTTTGACAAAAACAATAGTGAAAGCGCTTTTCACAAGCGTGAGATATAGTGTGAGCTGGAGTGACACCGTATATAAAGCCTTTGTAGCATTATGTTTTCATTCTTCACCCGTACGGTACAACAGCTCTTCTTCACTCAGCAGGTAAGTGTAGTAATCGTAATCATGCACAGTTATATGATTTATATTGAATTCATTTACAGATTAAATTTATATCAACCTGCAAAGCATGATCACTTAAAAAAATGGAAAGCTTTTGAATAAAAGCTGGTGAATATATCTAAAATCTCTCTCTCTCTCTATATATATAGCTTGTTCCACTTCTAAGAGCAATGGCAGCAGCAGTCTTTTCCAGAATCAGGGGACCAACTATAGCCACCAAAGGCTTATTTCTCATCTTCTCTCTGCTGTGTCTTGCTTCAGTCGCAAGTTCCCAAGCTTCCGAGGAACAACGGGTGAATTCAGTCTTCCTGAATTCCCTTTTTTGATACAACAATTACACACTTCTGTGTACATATACAGTCTAAGTCATCATAAGCTCATTAACTGTCATTTTTTCATTATTTGCAATGGTTTGTATAGATACTTGAGGCGATCAAGCAAGGAATAAAAGACACAAACAGATGGAAGGTGGGTCATTCCGTCTCCAAGTTGGCTTTGTAGAGTGTTTGGGCAGAAGATAAGAATTAACTCTTTAAATATACCTTAATAAATGCATATTACACTGGACTATCTATACTGCAAGTCTTGCAAGCACAGTAAATGCAGAGTATACAATGCAGAATAATATAGTAAATTTTAATGTGCTATCTTTTTTCCCCAATAGGCAGAAGACAAATATAGAAAGGAAACAATCACAATACTATTGGATCTCTCAAGTTCACTGACCCACAAGGGCCAACTGGTATATTTAATATTTCCTTAACCTTTGTTAATTAGTTTCATATAAATGATCCCTTTCTGTGTAAGAATGCCCTTCTTTTGGTGTGGTTTTAAATGTTCAGCAACTGTCAAACTCACTGTGCTCTGTTTTTTTGGGGAAACATTTCAGGAACTATTCCAGGAAACCCTACAAAGAGCTGTAAATTTTGAAGAAAGGCTGAAGGTGGGTCAGACAGTCTCCAAGTTATTCACATGTTGACCGAGAAAGTCTTTAATTCATAAAACTAGTAACTAAAAAACTCCAGTAACATCAGGATACATTTAGTAATCTGATACACACCAAAGAAAATTCAAACTCATGTAAGTGTAGAAAACAGCAGTTATATAATTTGTGCTAAAATGTTTATTTTCTCATTCAGGCAAGAAGTACAAAGATTTTCCAAATGGTAACAAGAGAAATTGATGAACTGTTAGAGAACTACACACGTCAAGTGAAACTGGAGATGTTATTAGAAGAGTCCCCGCCAATTCAGGAAATGAATGAAATCAATTTGCGCCTTGTAAAGAATGGGAAAATTTGCATGGACAAGAAGAAGACTTTGCTAGATGAATCAAGAACAGTAAAAATACTCGGTGGGGTGATCACCATCTTTCATTTACTTTGGCAAAATGTTGTAGTAAACACAGAATTTCTTTGGTTTTATGACAATGATTCTTTAATTTAAACATTATACATTTGTATGCAATTTAAATAAATGTATTATGTGAAGATGCTTTGTGGTGCTTCCTTTGCCAAGCCCTGAAGGGAAAAAGAATCAGATCTGATGCATGTAGAAACTGTCATAACCTCCTGCTCTCTACAATAAAGATGATGACAGTCTTTCTTTGGTTCATAAGTTCTGATTATGTCCTTCAGGTCAAGCATAGATGTGATTAATATGATGGAATCATGAATCCATTTTTAGATATTTGAACTCCGAAAGCTTAAGGGAAAATGACATATTTCTTCATTTTATTTTATCTATTCATTTACTCACTTTCCTGCTATTTTACCTCTGTCCAACCCAACAGTGGATAATGGGTGTTACTAGTAGAAATCAGCCCATAGATATGGGCTAGTTTGTTCTGAAGATTGTTAACGTCCATTCGGATGGAGGGTTCAAGAACCATGAAACCAGCTCAGTGTCCTCTAGGCTGTTACACCCAAGCAGGCAGCCCAGAGTTTGTGGCCAAAGGTTGTTGTAAATGAAAGACTTTGTACCACTGAACGGAGGGTGTGTGTCATGCTGAGCAATATAACACTGATGTGTGTTACAGGGAGGTCTTTAGTTCTTTAGTGTGAACCTGCAGCTTTTTGCCTTTCATCTTCTATGCTGATAGCACACTGTTTATATTGTCCTAAAATTAGACACTATACCACCATCACCATCATCATCAACTTGAAATTCTACTACTCTTTATGTAAGCTAACGCTGACCATGAAACCACAGCCATTGCACCAGTCACACATTGTTTTTTGCTTTAAGTAAACCAAACCAACCTGTTTATTCTGTAATAACCTGCAGAGCATTTTCATGCAACCTTTAAATAACACAGTTAGTCTATCTCAGTTTGTTTTGCAGCAGGTTTCACAACATGAAAAAACACAATGTCACATGCACTTGTACTTTGTTACTTCACGCCTCTGCCGATCACTGACAATCTGTTGGTCATATGTATTACTGTGAAAATAAAAAACAGCCCTCTGGTGGTGCTGAAAACAAACAAACAAGAATAAAACCCATAATTTAGCATATAAAGGCCACGTAAAACCAGAGTAATGATAAACAATATATGCGCAGCGTTTTTTCCTCAATAGTTTCGTCACGTTTATTGTCTAAGGACAGCGCTAGCAAGCACTCTCTGCTTATGACGTTTAGTGTGTTTAGAGTGTGTAGTTAATGAGTTGCCTTGTGTAGTTAGTGTGTAGTGCTGTGGATAGTTTTGTGTGTCAGAACAATGAGGCGACTGCTATCTCCAGGTAGAATCAGGAGTGATACACCTGCTGCTGTCAGACCTGCAGGTATCAGGCTGTGATGTTCTCCTTTATACTGGACAGAAATTATTTTTTTGGAGTGGCACAAATAATTTGTGTGGCATCTTACTGAATGCAGAGCAGCTGATTGTTATATAAGTTTGAAATGGTTATTTTAAAAAAATCAAGGTCAAAGGTAAACGGATGCAAATGACTTTGTTGTTTGCAAAACTCGTGCATAGGATTTTAAAAATGACAATTTATATTTGCATTTAAAGTTATGAAATATGATTCATTAAACATGTTTGTGGTTGTTACAGTAAAAAAATGTAACTTTTTCTACTCTGACTTTATGTTTTTTGTCTGATTTTAGATCAATTGTGTTAAAACAGTATGTTAAAATGAAAACATAACTGACAGCATGGTGGGAGTTTCTAAAATTGACGGAGTCTTCATTAATCCCATGCAAACGTACACCTATCTGAAACAACCCTGACATATTACAAAACAATAATATGATAAACTGGGCGTCCAGGTACACACCGGCTCACTCCTTGGTGGCCGCTTATCGGGGCCTGGAGCCTGGGGCTCGCTCAGGCCACTTCGGAGGTGGGGTGCCCCCGGCCTCTCGGCCTGGGGCTCGGTCACTCAGGCACAGCTGGCTGCCGGCGGAGCTCACGGATGCGTCACTGCAACCCCCCCTGGCTTCTGCTCCGCGGCTGCTGAGTGAGCCCTCATCTGGGACTCTCCTC